AATTTTTTTCACTATAATCACTATACCAATTAGAATGACTTTTCCAGGCAAGTTAAGATGAAAACTTCTCCCTATTAAGAAATAATTGATATGTGCTCTGACTTAACTCTTTGTGTCCAAGTCAAAAGCAGAGAATGCAAATTTCCTTCTCTTACTCTCTTATAAAAACATAGCAAGCCAAAATATTTCACACACGCCTATTCCAAATCTCTCTTCTTGCCATTTGTACATTATCATTTTGAAAAGTTTGAATCATATGAGTTTGTGTAATGATATCTTTATACTACGCATTTCATAGAGACTCATTAAAAAGAACTTACTTCTAAAAGATGAATGTGGTATTAAATATATTTCTCAATCTTGGAACTGACCATTGACATCAATAAGAACTTAAGAGAAAACTAAATTCAGAACGTTGTGATGATTTCACCTAAACTGAAGGTGACTTGTATGTAACATGAAAATAGCTTTTAAAATATGAAAGAGGAAAAGTTTAATATTATAGTAATTAAATATATGTCAATAGTTACAAAGTAGTCTCCTCTATTCATTAAGACAGACCATGAAGGGTTTTTACTTGAAGACATTAAGAGCTATTCTAAGTTTGTATGAAAATAATGGAATTTAGGGGCACCTGGGTGGCTCGGGAGGTTAAGCATCTGCCTCCCGCTCAGATCATGATCCCAGGGTCCTGGGATTGAGTCCCACATCAGGCTCTTAAAAAAAAAAAAAAAAAAAAAAAGAATTGAATTCTCTTCTCTTTGGTTTTTCACTAAGTCCAACTGGAATTCCTCTACTTAGCTTTTAGGTGAGCTTTCAGCTTTTCTCTTTTTCTTTTTCTTTTTTTAAATAAAATCACCAGGGCGCCTGGGTGGCTCAGTTGGTTAAGCAACTGCCTTCGGCTCAGGTCATGATCCTGGAGTCCCGGGATCGAGTTCCACATCGGGCTCCCTGCTCGGCGGGGAGTCTGCTTCTCCCTCTGACCCCCTTCCCCCTCCTGCTTTCTGTCTCTCATTCTCTCTCTCTCTGAAATAAATAAATAAAATATTTTTTAAAAAATAAATAAATAAATAAATAAAATCACCATTTGGAGTCCCCATTAGTCACCAGAGTACCATTGTTAAATAACACACAGTGCCCCCAAAACCTGACTTTTGCAGACATGTTTTCAACTAATATTATTAATATTTGGAATCCACAAAATCTTGTCAGTTACTCTCAAATTCCAAATATATCTCTGCTCTGTAAAACAGGCCAGGTTGGGGTTAGGGGTTAAAACAATGTCTATGAGATTACCACTGTGTTCATCTCCTTTGGTTGCCAGCATAAGGCAACATAAAATGCCAACAGTCAATGATCCAAATAAATCATGGGTGAGGGAGGGCCTGGGCTGGCTGCAGGTCAGTTCTCCAAATTCGTTCTATTCCTACATCCTTCCTTTAAAGTTGTTTCTTTGCCGTTTTCAGAGTAAGATGCCACAGGTGGACAGAAAAACTCTGAAGGTATTGAAAATTAGCTTAGGAAAATGATAAATAACCCTCCTGAAGACAAAATAAAATATTTCATTGTGATATCTTGAAACATGTAATCATTCAAAAGTAATTAACTTCACTTGTTAACTTCAAGAATAAAGGCACCTTTTACTTTCACAGTTCTAGATGTTGTTAGAATTGCACACTAGAAAAAAAATGGAACCCTAAAATGGGATACTAAAAGGAAATTTTGGCGGAATTAACTACTTTCATTTAGCAAATTCCCTCCTCACAGCTCAATAAATTGCCATGAAGCTATCATAAAGTGGAATTCATTCTAAAAGAAGTTTTGATATTCCCTCTGTCCAATTAGGAAGTCAAAAGGCAATTAACTTAGCTGTCATGGTAATAGTTGACATTTCTGGGGATGTTGACACATTTGTCAGGGGAGCCAAATTCAGGGACATCTGTCTGGTGTGCAGTCTCTTCTAAAGTAACTGGGGGAAGGGGAGAGAGAGGAAGGAAGTGAGAGACTTTTCTCCCAATTTTCTGTAGTCCATTCCCAAGGCTCTGAATCAAAATCTCACTTCTCTGACGAGTTCAAGTCCTGGTGGTTTGTCACTTCTTTGATCAGTTCGTGTCCTGGTGGTTTGAATATCTGCGAGAGTGCAGGAGGTAGAGGGGATTAAATTTGTTTTACTTTCTACTTCAGCTTATAATCAAGGCACAATCTCATCTGATTGAGAAATACCACCTTTGTGTAAATGACACCTTTCCAGATACACGGAAAATACTGACCTTGCTCCAATCAGTGGGCATATTGTAAAACTTCGGACTCTTCATTTTTCCTCCTTTACCTTGGACTTGGAGGGAGACAACTGTTTTCCTGCCTAGATTCAAATCAATGCTCACTGGCCCCAATTCCCTGTGTTGCTTTAAACTCCTGTGCGGCCAGTACCCTTACTTAGCTTGAGAAAGGTTTCAAAAAACTGGTTCAAGTAGAGGAGATTGAGAAATGTGAAAAGAAAGCAGACTTAGGCAACTGGCATCACCTTCTCTTCCTTGTCTTTGTTCGAAACGTGGGATGTCACCGCTCGTGTCATCCTTTTCAAACATAATTACCATTTTGCTGGGCCTCGCTGGATGCGGAGAGATTGTTATTTTCTCCTGAATTTGTGGGAAAAAAATCAAAGTTCCTTTGGTCCCATGGTCAAAGTCAAGTAAAAATATCAAAGTGAGTGGGTACAGGGGATAGGAGGTGGCTACTGCGAGGTGAGCAAGGACGAGAATTGAGCTGCTCAGCCCTCGCTAGGCGCGCGATCCGGCGCTCACGCCCCAGCGCCTTTACCCACGCAGTACTGCGGGCCTCCAGCCACGCCGCGGAGCCTGGGTAGCGCGGGGAAGAGCGCCCTGCGGCGAAGGACGCTCAGTACCGGAGATGCTCTAGCTGGAGGAAGCCAAAGTAGAACCTGTGTCCACAGATACACAGCAGGACCTGCGCAGAAGGGCAGAGTGTGACCCTCCGTGGTCGCGCCTACTGGCCGCGATCTGTCCTGGGCACCTCGGCTCCCGCTCAGACCTGACTCCGGGAACGAGGGCCGGCGGAGCCAGAACCTGGCGCGGGACAGGGCGGAGCGGCCCTCGGCAGCTAGCGCGCTCCTAGGCGGCGAGAAAGACTGGGACCTACACGCCCACCTCACGCCTCCAGGAGGGCACTTTGCGGCTCTTTGGATAAAGGTTCGCTCTTTAGCCTCCAGAGAAAACCAAGGCAATTGCTCTTCTCCGAAGCACCCTGGGCGGGAGGGTTGGGGTGGGGGCGGGAAGGATATTCTGCTCTACCTGTGCGCCTAGATCGCCAAAGGATCTAGGGGCCTGCAGAGCTCAGCCACAAGGCAACCTGGCCCCTGAAAAGGCATGCGTAAAACTGGACTGAGTGGTGTCTTTATTTTTTTTTATTATTATTTTAATTTTCTTTAAAGTAGACATCGTACTTAAAGAAACTCTTCGATCGCTCGGGACAATTCACCATTTATAAACCGAACTGGAGACTTGGAGCCACTTCGCATTTATTATTCGGGCAAAACCAAAACCTCACCCCGGAAACAATTTGGCTTAAATATTCACGTTTTGAAGACAAATATTTCTCTAAGGGTGCATACAGCCTGGGAATCGATGTCAGACTTTTTTTTTTTTTTAATTGGGTAATAACTGGAGTTCGTAATGCACGCTGCCTCTTCCTTGGTTCTGGGCTCTCAATGTTCCCAAGCTCTGCCCCCACCTACCTCTCAAGTCAGGCCCACGCCCTTCCCACCACCTGACCCAGCCATACCGACAGTGTTGTCTTGATTCATCCCTAAACTTGGACTCCACTGTGACACCCTCCTCCCCAGGGGACTGTGTTGGGAGTGGGGAGTGCTTGGGGAAGAATGAAGAGCGTGCCCGGAAGCCCATCCGAGCCAGTAAAACTCTCAGGGCAGGAAAGAGAACAGCGATGCACGTTTCACAATTGAAATGCATCCTTTCAACTCTCTAAAATAAAGCAAAAAGTCCTGTCTGACTTCCTGCATTCCCTAGCATGACTCCTCTTGCAGTCAACAAGTCCTCGTCCCAGGAAGTTACCGCAACACTGAAGGACCCAGGCCGAGGAAACCCGGGGCTGCCGGGGGCTGGGTAGGGCCTCCTGGACTCCTCGAAAGCAACTCGCACCGGGAGGAGCCAGAGGCGGGGCGCGAACAGCGCCCACGGAGCGGGTTTGGGTGGGGGACTTCAAAGAGAAAGTGTCGGGATCGAACTCTAAAGAGGCAGAAGGGACCGACCCCAGAGAGCGGAACTGAGGTGTGGGAGCTGGCGGCGGGGGGGGGCTGGGTCAGAGGAGGCGCATCAGGTGCATCAGTCCTTACCGGCTTCAGCTACTGTCATTTCTCCCCCAGAGGGAGCTCCTACGCGCCAGGCAGGAGTCTCCCGACTCCCTCGACTTCCTGTCTGAGGTGCCGCGGATCCCCCAGGGGATTCCTGGGGAGCGCGCTATCCCTGCCGGCACTCACCAGAAGCCGAGAGCAGATAATCTGCCCCACCTGGCCACCCCCGGACTCGCACACTCTCAACTCTCCAGTTTGAGGCCGGGGCTCTCCCACGGGACTTTTGCCACCACGCATCAAACTTCCTTCTCTCCCCAAGTGTGAGAACCCCCCACTTTCCCCCTCCTGCACTCCTCCCTCCCTCTCCCCTTTCTGTCTCTCTCTTGGTTTGCTTCTCTGTCCAGCATTAGCCTGGGAATCCTACTCCTCTTGGTGCGAAGCCTCAGGGCCCAGGCTCGGAGGCGCGCGATTCGCCGCACCCTTGGCTAGCAGCTCGCGGCGGGGGAGCTCGGGGAAACACGCCGGTAGCCCCTCGGGCCCAGTCCCTGGCTCCCCATTGGCCCCCCGGTCCCCGCCCCCTCCGCGGCCCGGAGTGGCGTCAGCACGCCAGTCCGGCGTGGGGTTTAAATGCCCACTAGCGGGAGCTCGGGCGCTTCTATCCCGGAGCGCGGTCCGGGCTCAAAGTGCCGGGGTGGGAGGGGAGCCTGAGAGCGGGATCCCGAGCCGCTGAGCGCGCTGCCCACCGCTCCGCCGCCGATGACTCGGGAGCTCGGGTCCAAGCGCCGCCCATGCAGAATCACTGCGCTCCACCGACCCGGAGTTGATGAAAAAACACTTAGCCGTCTCCGCTGCGGGGAGCCATGAGCTGTCTGGATGTTATGTACCAAGTCTATGGTCCTCCCCAGCCTTACTTTGCAGCCGCCTACACCCCCTACCACCAGGTACGTGTCTCCTCCGGGCCGGGACCTTGGAGACGGGTGGCGCGCCCCCGCTTGCTGAAGCACCGCCTGTACCCCGAGGTCCAGGACACCTCCGCACCGATCCGGGGCGTCCTGCCAGCGGCGGGAGCCCCGAGGATGCGGGGATTGCCGGCGCTGCCAAACGGTAGGTTGAGCTAACCCCTTTAGCTTGTCCACTTGCTCTCTCGGGAAGGCAGCTAAGCCCGCTAATGCGTGCCCCGTCCTTCCGCGGAACCATCACACGAGGATCGCGCCAGCGATCTGTCGGACTCCAGATTCTTCGGTGCGGGTGAGGGGAGATGCGAGCAAAGCTCACGCAGGGAAAACCAAACTTTGGTCTCAAAGGTGAGAGTGACAAGAGAACAAAAGCAAAGACCTGTCTCTGTCTTTCTGCCTAAAACACAAAGACCTGCGTTCTCATCTCTGCAAGCTTATCTAAGGAGTGACTTTTTCCCGTTTCAATTCTCAAGGGATCAGGCCAATTAATTCCGGAACCAGAGAATTCGTTACAAAGAGAACCGCGTGAAGGCGTGGGTTTGATAATCTTTGCAAAATTCTAGGGATTATTATTGGGGTGCAATTGACCTGGCGGATGCGAGCTTCAGAGATAATATTTCGCCTTTCTAGAGACTGAGTGGCTGCATCGGGCTATCCTGCGGTCCACAAACCCACCTGTAAGAAGACCACTTAACCCCGTTCGGGCAAACTCTTGAAGTTTCGTTTAATTATTCCAATTTCTCTCTTCTCCGGGCGGAGTCTGGTCGACCAGTTTTTCCTTCCACGTCCTCAGCTGATATTGTAGAAACTGAAGACTGTAGTCCAGTCAAAGAATAAGATCACACACCCAGGGGGCTGTAGGAGTCAGGAGCAGGTTCCAAAGTGAGGGCCTGGACTCCTGTTCAAGAGAGACTGAAATACTTCCGGACCGCTGGTCCAAGTTTTTGCCAATTTTGATTGCAAATTCAGAATGTCCGTTCGAAAATTTCCTGATGAATTAATGATGGAAGGAGTAGGTTTTGCTTTTCTCCTTCTACCTCCCCTCCCCTTTTAAATTTTCCATCTAAGAGTTTGTTTAGTCTCACAAAGTTAATTTGGGGAATCACCAGAGTCCCTCATTATAAGCCAAGCGGGAATGTGGTAGAAGTGGTCATTCTACTAAGTAACTACAGTCTTTTGGCTTCAGGGTCTGAGATGACTCCTTCCCAGGTTAGCACTATTGCAAAGAAGAGAGAGGGGTTGGTTTTCTGTCTGTTTGGTCCTTTCTCCTCCCTGATCCTGGACCAACCCAATCTATTCCATTAAGTTCTCTGTTCATTTTTGTATGATCAGCCTGCTTCAAGGCCATCTCTGCCTGCATAAATGCGTTAACACAGCATTCAGGCTATTGCTCATTTCTAAGAAAATATTTCAGCAGCTACACTTGGTTTTTTACAATCACTACCAGACAGCCACAATTTAGCCATCCTCCTGGCCAAGATCTTCTTCTTCGGTTCCTTGTTATTACGTGTTTCCTCAATGTGCACAGAGATGGTGAGGGTCGAAATGCACACAGCCCTCTGGTTTTTCCTTACTCAAAAGAAGATCTCTTTAAAAACTGAGATAGACTTTTAAGTGGACAGCTTATGGGCGACCAAACAAATATCAGCTTGCATTTATTCATATGATCCATGTCGGAATGTTATTCCACATTTTTACCCCACATGATTCTTTCCTAGATGGAACTATATCTTACCTCTGTGGCGGTTTTTCCTCTACATTCCTGGCTGCATGGAGTGGGTTTTGGCATTTTCACGCTCTATCAGGACGATGCTTGAATCTTGCATCTTGTGCATCTGCCCTGGATTCTTAGGCAGGGGACAGTCAGGCTCTAACTGGACTTGGGTGCCCTTCATCCTTGGAGCCTGATTTTAAAAATATATCTGCCCCGAATCTGGCTCTGTGGCTCAACTCAGCTCATAGCCTGGCATCTTCTGGGACTTTTCCCCTGACATCTTCAGAGAGCTTTCCCTCGGGTCTGGCAGGAATTCTGGGGAGCCAGAGACACCAAGCAGGGCAGTCTGCCTCTCAAGGAGCTCACGCGTGTTACTGAGCACAGGGCTTAGGCCTGGATGCCAGTTTTCCCCTGGATACCTTAGGAATCTGACGGAGTGAGATGGGAACCCAGTTTGCCATCTCTTTTGAAATTGACCTCTCTGTTCTTTCTCTCTTGGAGCAGAAACTAGCCTATTACTCCAAGATGCAGGAAGCGCAAGAGTGCAACGCCAGCCCCAGCAACAGCACGGGCAGCGGCAGCTCCTTCTCCAGCCAAACTCCAGCCAGTATCAAAGAGGAAGAAGGCAGCCCAGAGAAAGAGCGCCCACCAGAGGCAGAGTACATCAACTCCCGCTGCGTCCTCTTTACCTATTTCCAGGGGGACATCAGCTCTGTGGTGGATGAGCACTTCAGTAGGGCCTTGAGCCAGCCTAGCAGCTATTCCCCAAGCTGTACAAGCAGCAAAGCACCCAGGAGCTCCGGGCCCTGGCGGGGTGAGTAAAGGGCTCGCTTCTAAGGGCAGATAGAGAGCCCTCTAGGCCTGGGGCCCCCCTACTGGGCTCAAGGAAAGGCAGCCAAAAGAATACTAGGTGTCAGAGAGGAGGTGAGGAGGGGCTTGTGGGGAGTGTAAGTAAAAGGAAGGAAGGAGAAACAATCTCTCCTTGAAGAGGCAGAGCAGAGCAGGGCAGTGACTTAGAAAAAACACTAGCCTTGGAATTGGGAGACCTGGATTTTCCTGCTGGCCCTACCACTTCCTAGCAATATGACCTTGGGCAAGTCTCTTAACCTCTTTGGGGTCACTCTATTTACTGGTCTCTAAAATTAGAATAATACTTGCCCTCTTAACTGTCACTGGAGATGGCTGTAGGACAAATATGAAAATGTATGTAAAAGTGCTGTGGGAGTGTGAGGTTTCAAACACTGTCCCAAGCCACGTGGAAGATCTTCACCTACAACAACCTCCAGGGCTCTTAGCAGTCCCTGAAAATTTGCCCAGAGGAGAAAGTCCTAGACCCCACCGGAAGCAAAACCTGCTGATGAATGTCTCTTAAAACCTATGTGTGCTTTTTGCCAGGCTTCAATTACTTAGGAAATCTTGAAGCAAAAAAAATGTCTTTCAGTAAGCAAGTACCAAAGAAATAAAAGTTTAGGTACAGCCAAAACATCTCTAGGGTTTCCCCCCAAACACCCCCTCTTTATTGTTCTACCCTTCTCACAGAGCATTGCTTTATCTAGCCTGGGACAATGATTTATTGGCCAATCTCCCGTCTATTAGGAAATCTCAATCTCTTTTTATTCCCAGGCAAGGGTGGGGGTAACTATTTGGTAAGCTTTCTCACTAAATTTAATTTTTGATGTGTTGTACCAAGATGAGAAAGGAGGACTTTCTTGTGAAAGAAAAACGAATATAACATTTGGGGAGGGGGATGACAGCTCTCACCCTCCCTTTTTCTCTTAAGAGTATCTGACAGTTTGTGCAATCCTTGCCTAGATAAGATCTCAAATCATTAGTTTGGAATACAGAACATTTTTTTAAGTCTCTCTTAGAATGCATTTTCAACACATGTTTAATTCTCTAGTATGTGGGGCAGATGCCTTCCCTAGAGGAGGTGCTGGATCAAGTCTCCTGGAATTAAATATCTTTCCTTCCCTCCGTTCCCACCAGGGACAACAAATTTGATCTAAATGCTGTTGTTCTCTTAAAATGCTTCCCGGCACTAGGGGTCAACAGGGATACTGGCCATAAGAATTATTATTATTCCTGGTGTCCACACTTTAAGGAACAAATATTATTAAGTAAAACTTAAAAGATCTGTCCCTTTGCGTCCCTCTGCAAATAATACAACTGCCCTTTTAGTATGTCCAGTTTACTCTTTTGCTTGAGTTCTTGGAAAAAAATATTTGAAAGTAGGTTTCTAGAAAGGAGGCTAATAATAGCAAGACTTTGAAATATGTCGATGGACTTCCAGTCTATCGGAGGCCTTGGAGGGGCACATTTTCTGGAGCTGGGGAGGCTGAAACGCGAGAGGGGCTCGTGAAATCGCTAGGCTGCTGACCAAGAGTGGGAAGAGGTATCTTTAGCTTGGGGCGAGGCGGCGGGCTGGGACCGGGAGGCCGAGTCTACCCCGAGGCCGCCGAGGCAGCGCAGCCTCGAGTCGGAGGGAGCTCCCTGCGCCCCAAAACTGGAACGAAAGGGAGTGTCTCTCCTCTCTTCCTCTCCCAGTCTAGTCTGTCCTGGGGTTTCCGCACTGAAGACGCGTCTGCAAATTCCGAGGAAGCGGCCCTCCTTCCCGAAGGGTTTCCCCCATTTTGCGGTGCCTCAACCTCGAATTCGCAGGCTGCAGCCCCCTCAGAAAGGCGCCGCCCCCGAGGCCCGGCTGCAGGTCCGCTCCCCGCCGCGGCTTGCCAGCCCTTTGCCCGCCAGGCGCGTTCAGCTTTCCCGCCGCGCGGGGTTGGCGCTTCCACCTCCCCCGCGGTGACGCGCTCCTCTTTTCCTTTCCTCCCCTCCGCCTCGCCGGCCTGCAGACGCCTCCTTCCCGATGAGCCAGCGCAGCTTCCCCGCCTCCTTCTGGAACAGCGCGTACCAGGCACCGGTGCCCGCGCCTCTGGGCAGCCCGCTGGCCGCCGCGCACTCGGAGCTGCCCTTCGCTGCCGCCGACCCCTACTCGCCGGCCGCGCTGCACAGCCACCTGCACCAGGGCGCGGCCGAGCCCTGGCACCACGCGCACCCGCACCACGCGCACCCACACCACCCCTACGCGCTGGGCAGCGCCCTCGGCGCCCAGGCCGCCCCCTACCCGCGGCCTGCCGCCGTGCACGAGGTCTACGCGCCGCACTTCGACCCGCGCTACGGGCCGCTGCTGATGCCCGCAGCCTCCGGGCGCCCGGCCCGCCTCGCGCCCGCCCCGGCGCCCGCGCCGGGCAGCCCGCCCTGCGAGCTCTCCGCCAAGGGCGAGCCCACCGGCGCCGCGTGGGCCGCGCCCGGGGGACCCTTCGCCAGCCCCGCGGGGGATGTGGCCCAGGGTCTGGGACTCAGCGTGGACTCAGGTAAGCGGGAGAGGGAGCTTGGCCTCCCCGGGCCCCTCCTGCCCTGTGTCCGACCCTGGGCTGAGCCCCGGATCCCCCTTAGTTCTCCTTGGAGACCCCAGTGACGTTGTGGCCCAGAGGTCTGCATGGCAGGGTTGTGCTTCAGCAGACAGATGACCCAGTGTCATCGGTGTGGGCAGAATGAGAAAGAAGGACACTGCCCTAACCTGGCTGGTAGATATAAAAGGGGCTTTTTTTCAAATGTAAATAAATAAACAAATAAGTAAATAATTTGTTGAAAAGGTTCTAGCTCTGCGCTGTTCAATTCTGTAACCGCTAGCCGCATGTACTTGTTGAGCACTTGAAATGTGGCTAGGACGAATTGGGATGTGCTGTACGCGCATAATACGCACTGGATTTCAAAACTGTGTACAAAGAAAAAATGTAAAATTCATCTCACTAATATTTTTATGTTGATTGCATGTTGGAATACTTTCGACACATTGCATATTGAACATATTGGGTTAAATAAAATATATTACTAAGATTAATTCTCATCTGGTTCTTTTTACTTTTTTCCAATGTGGCTGCTAGAATATTTAGAATTATGCCGGTGGCTCCCATTGTGTTTTTATTGGACAGCGCTGATCTAGAGGACCTAGAGCTAAGAGTGTAGTTCAAAATCTTCTACAGCTTGGGCGGAGGATATTGTCTCTTAGTGACAATTATAAGGAAAGAAAAATGTGCTTCTGATATCAACCTAATTGCGAAATTAAATAGGTCTCTTAAAATGTAAAACTTAAAGAGAATGTGATTTCCATGACTATATTAAGTTTCTGGTTCAGTGAGTTGAATTTGAAAGGTACATTCTTCTGCTTCCTTTATTTTTAGGGCATAACCAAAAAATGGTTATATTATAAATGCAATCATTGGCTTGTGGTCTTGCCCATGCACCCTTCCTTCAGGTGAAGATTTGACATTTCTGTTTGCTTTGCTTTTACTTTCATTCATGCCCTTTAAATGAATTCTGTGACATTCACAATAAAACAGTGGTGTTTGTCTTTCTCTTTCCTTAAATACCTGTGCCTTCCCACCCCCAACCCCTTCTCTCTCCCTCTGTTTCTCTTCTCCCTCTCTCCCTCTCTCTTTCTTTTGTTTTCTCTCTGTTTTCAGGTTTACAGGCTCAGGACAAAGGCAAGGATCTGTACCGGTTTTAGACAGCCAAACTTGTTCCCTGTAGGTCTCTGCATAGAGCAATTGCTGACTCTCAGAGCTGAAATCGAGTGGGTTTGTAATGGCTTCTGATCTTGGTTTGCAGCTCGTCGTTATTCCCTCTGTGGTGCATCCCTCCTGAGCTGATCAGATGACCCCGGGTTTCCCCTTCCCTTTCCCTTCCGACCAGCCACGGAGGCTCAGCATCTGGGCCTCTCACTTCATGGATGACGACGTGGGGGAAGGCAGAGACTTCAAACATCTCCACGTGTTGGGAAAACCAAAACATACAGCTACAGAAATTTTGTCTAACAATAATTCCTTCTGCGGAAAGAGCAGATCCAAAGACTCTGAATCATGTTTAATGACTCTTGGGCAAATCACTGGAAATAACCAGCAGTGAGCTCACTTAGATATGATGTCATAAGTTTTCTTGGAAAGAGGAGGGGAAAAAAAGACATTTTGGTGTGAATATTTTTTATGCTGATGTGAATTATATCATTAAGTAGTGTGATCATAGCACTACTGATGTCAGTATCCTCACATTTAAAATGTATTTGTATTTGCATCGAAGACTGTGGTAGGGAAGTAAAAGAGGCCAACTCGCAATGCCTTCTTCCTCACCTCATGGCCTCCAGCTCCCTTCGTGCCCACTCCTTCTCTGCAACACCCACTCCAGACACAAAGACACACTCTTTTCCTTTGGACTGTGAACATGGAAGCCTCAGCCTAAATGTGAGTGGCAAGTGGCTTCTCTGGAGCCACCTGCCCAAGTCTTGCTGAAATGCAGCTGTTGTAGGACAACTGTTGAAAACTCCAGAAATACATCGACCAAGGTGGCACTTCCCAGTGTTTGGCACAACAATTGCAATTGCACTGGATCTATTTTGTGTGTGTGTGTGTGTGTGTGTGTGTGTGTAGATATATATCATATTTTTTACAAGGAACATTCTACAATGAAAGAAGAAGCCCTTCTCTGCCTTCTCTCCCACAAATTTCGTCTCTCCTTCCATCCTCCTCTGGATGGAAAAAAAAAAAAGGCAAGAAACCCCAACTGTCTCCGTGAAGAAGAACCAGGAATCGCCACAAGGGGAAGAAATGTCCACAGAGTCTCTAATACCTCGAATATTCCTCTCAGTCTCTGTGGTTGCAATTTGGTCACTTTCGTTTTGGCACAGGGGAAGGGGTCTGTGCGTGGGCAAAGCTGAAGGTGATGAGGAAGAAGAAATGAACAGTAAAGATGTCTCTTTACTACAGGGTCGCTGTGTTATTTCATAAAAAGAAAATAAATGTCTTAGTCCTTCCCGAGTAGAATAAAATAATTTATAGTAGTACAATCTGTTGTCAGTAACCAATATTACTTTATGTATATAGTGCTGTTTGTTTTTCCAAAGTGTTTGCCATTCTGTGAAACCCATTAACCCTTTTCACTTGACATCAACCCCAGGATTGAGAAGTTAGGTATCCCACCTCTGTTTCACAAATGAGAAAACTGTGGCCTGCAGAAGCCCAGGCTTACCGGACGGCATTCACTGGGTTGAAGGTAGAGATGCTACGGAAAGCACCACCTGGGCACCATTCAGTGAGGCACACGTTTATTATTCTCCAGGAGAGAATTATTATTACTTCTTCGATTCTAGACTCTTAAGACAGTAGTCAGTTAAAAAGTGTTTTTTGAAATATTGGTGATATTACAGTTTAGGAAGCTAGGCTAAGAAAACAAACCTACCACTAGCCGCCCCCCCCCGAAAAAAAAGGAAGAAAGAGGAAAGAGAGAGGTTAATTATTAAGAAATGAGTGGTCTTTTCTCTTAATTTTCTCTTGATGCTAAAATTGTGTTCATTCACTAAAGTGCCCGAAAGAAATATTCTGTGTTATGTTCAAATTGCCCTTCTAGATTGTTAAAGCATAAAAATATTAGCTCAAATCTTGACCTCCGTTAGAACATGAGGAACAAATACAATTTATCTTGGATAATAGTCTGAAGAGTTGGGGGCAGTAAGGGACCTTACTCAGAGTATGGCTTAGCAGAGGTACCCCTCCCCTCGTTCTGTCATCTTGGCCGCTGTGAAGTAGATTATGATCATTTCAAGAACCTATTACTGGTTTTGCTTCTATGGAAGGTACTTGATGATTATGCTGCATCAGATGTGATAGCACTCACAACAACTGATGTTAATTATTCATCAGGCGCTGATCGGAGGGCTTCATATGCAGGTTAACTCATTTAAGTCTGACAGCAAGTCTATGTGTATTTATGATGGTGATCCCCTTCTTACCCATGAGATAACCGAGGCTCACAGAGGAGAAATAATTTGCCCAGTCACCCAGCCAGTAAGTGGCAGAGCCAGGATGCCAACCCAGGCAGCCTGGGTGCAAGAGACCGCACTGTCACCCACTGCACAGGCAGCTTGTCCTCTTCTGATTTGTCTTGGGTGGCTCGACTCTGGGTTTACTTTCTCCTCCATGGCAGATGAAGAAGGAAGGGGAAAGAGGCAGGGCACCAAAGATTGACATACCACAGACCTTATGGAATCCCTGGTCCCAAAGGAACTATCATAGGACATTTTTACACCTCTTCATCAAATGATACTATCTATAGACCATTCAGTCAGATGCAGATTTCCATTCTTCTCCAGGAGGAAATTATTATTGCTTCTCTCATTAATTCATTTCAGTATTTAGCAGACATCCCTGCCCTGAAGCTCTTCACACCCAACCCGACCGAGTCATGTAAAGAGTTAGCCTGAGGTTTGGACATTGAGGCAATAACTAAAATTAACTCTGGACTTCTCTGCGGATTTTTTTAATCCATGTTCCATTGGCACGGATCACTAGTATATACAAGCCTAAATAAAATGCATTAAGTCCCAGCTCGCTTTTGAGAATTTGCCGTTGAGGAAGAAAGCACGCGGTGCATTCTTTGCTGGACACTGTCTCCAAACAATCCCCACTGGAAGGGACTCTGCCCATGCTCCACTGCGTTAGCACCCACAGGATCTCTGCTCGGAACCCAGAGGGAGCATTTGCCCAGCCACAAGGTTCTGATTACTGAAGCCTCTCCCCTGAGCTGCATCTGACCTGAATATCAGGTTGCTGGTGAGGAGACTCATTCACTGGAACTGGCCTTTGGGGCAGTCCTGACCAGACCATCCAGACTGCTGAGCCGGACTCCAGTGACCTGGCACACAGGACACTCGGATGACAGCATTTCCCTCCATGTTAGACGTTCCCCAAGTAGAAATGCAAGACGACCTAGAACTATAATGATCCTGTCCGTGTCATAAGAGCATCAGAGAGAACTTGGGTGAATTAAAAATCCTAACAGACGTGCTTTAGGTGCACCAAATTCATGCAAAATATTAATTCCCTTGTCTTGCTAATATTCATGAAATGGTGCAGATTAGAGAAGGCCCCGGTCATTGATTAAAGGACATTCAAGGGAATGAAGGATGACACGGGGAAAGGCCAACATGACGTTTTCACACGTGTTCTACCTGGTTGGGGGGCTTGAGAGAAAGACAAGCTTCTCCTCTACTCATCCCTGCTGGCAGCGGTGGTCTCCCAGTGCAGTGTTCCCTGTGCACTTGGCCTCGATTGAGGGAGAGGTGATGAAAAGGGGAGAGACAGCTCTCCGCCACCAAGTAATCCTTCTGCCGATTGCCCTCTGGCTGAGAACTCAGTCACCCAACTTCAGGGAACTCTATCTGTTCTACTCCTTTAGTTTAAAAGGAGTTGCCATCCTGTCTCATTTCCCCCTTTGAAGTTCTATTTCAACATGTGGCAAATTCTAGCAATGACTTAAGATTGATTTGGGCCTGGATAGGAAGGAGGGCAGAGGTGGTGGAGGTTAGGACTTAGATCCCTTGACTGGAAGCTTCTCTTGCCACTCTTTCTGGGTAAGTACTGCTCTTTCTGTGCCCTTTTTATCAGAGGAAACAAGTCTTAAGATCAATTTAACCTCCAATTTGCTCAGAATCATAAACCCTGGGTTTATGTGTGGTCACCCATACCCTTTCTATCAAAAGAAACGGGATTTTTTTTTTAACACTTAGTGATTGATCACTTTGGGGTTGGAGGAGATAAAAAAAATAAGAGACAAACTGCTTTTCATATAAATGCTATTTCTATAAATTGCATTTTAAATGTAATTCCTATGGTGTCAAAACATGAAAGGAAACTTGAAAGATATTTGAAAAGACTTTAAAATTAAATGAAACAAAAAAAATAAGATTCCTTTATAAAATTGCCTTAACACTCTGTTGACAAGGTGCCTGCAAATAATTTACATTTTGATCATACTTATCAAAGTCCATACTCCATATATTCCATTTTCCTTGCAAGATTTTTAGGATTTATTATTATTCATTATCTATTACATAATCCTAAAATCTGGAGTAAAGGAATAAATGTCCTGAAGGCAGTATCATTATTAGACCTTCTGTTTGTACATAACTGAAGTTTTGACATCTTCACAAGCAATGGGATTAAGCAAACGTAAATTTCACATTCCTCAACACCACGTTTCCCTTATCTCTCATGAATAAATGAAACTCTAATAATATAAATATGGTACCCTCACAATATGGAATCTATCTACAGATCTCTCTCTCTCTCTCTCTCTCTCTCTGTTGCAGGCCTAAAGGGAAATCAGAGACACCGTGCCCTCAGACAGGCACAGACAGAAATGATTATTCTCACTTGACAGACCAACTGTACTGCTCTTTCCTTGTATTTCACTCCAGTCCCAGAGGGCTGGATCAGGAAAGAGACACTTGATAGCTGCTGGTTCCGTGGTTGAAATATTTGTGAAGTTAACGCATAATCTGAAAGCAGAAGCTAATAAATTATAGGGTGCTAATTGGAGCTGGAGTGGAGCTGTCAATCATGCTATCCTAAACACAGGGAGACCACCCTCATACCCTAAAAAGGCAAAGCAGCCTTCAGGAACAGCTCCCAGTTGTTTCCAGCCTTGACCCGCACTCCAGCAGAAACATCGAGCCCAGGCAGAGTGACCTCCGGCGGAGTCAGCAGAGGTGGTTCTGCTAATCCAAGCTCACTTTAAGAAGAGAGACAGATTCTCTTTTAGGGGGAAAGAGCAGAATATTTTTACTAAAGAATTACTGTTTTGAGAAACATATTGTTTA